TGGTGGGAAGGAGCGAGAGGCATTGTTCTTATAGTAGGATGGCTACTTTGTTTTTCTACTACCGGGTGTTAGTTTAAGCCACACCCAAACATCTGACCCATTATGACCAACAGAACTCATTAACTAGATGGCTAGAATAGGTAATGGATGCCATCTGTAATAGAATGAAATTAATTGACCAGCTTGGGGATAAAACCTATTACTCTACCCTCATTGTCACCATGCTCTAATAAGCCAAACTGACCAATCTTAAAAATCAAATTCCAAATTTCTGACATCCCATTGTTAATCAGCAAAACTACTCCAGAAAACCTAAGCATAGTAAAATAGAGGACATTACACCATTTTATTACTTCCTCCACTTTTCTGTTTACTGTGGACAAAAAACAGCCTATTCATAATATGCAGGTCTAATGATAGAATGCCTACTAAATGCATGGCTCCATACCCTCTTCTCTCTTCGATATTGGAAAACAAATGAAGTGTTTTATTTTTGTTTTAGTTAATTCTGGTTAATGAGTAAGTTTGGTAGATCGGCCTTACAGGATAACATCATCTTAAAATTTGATGGACTGCCATGTTTACAAATAACAAGAATAAAAGAAAAATCACAAGTGAAATGCCTGGGCCCATATATTTTATCTTAGGCTGGTAGTGAACAAGGCTGATATGATTTATTTCCATGCCAGAAGGAAGGAACAGCTCATAAAAACATAAATGAAAGGAGGCTGGTAAGTGGTGGGTGTTTTTTTTTTGCCATACTGGTGGTAAAGATAGGCAGAGCCAACAGACAGTAGTAAAATGAAACCAGGTGATGTTTACTTGTAGAGGTCAGGTTGTGGCTGTTCACATTCAATCGCTGCTCGGAGGGTATTAATGGATTCAGGTGTATATGGTGCAGTGGTATCACGTACTGCTGCATAATGTGTCTAGATGAAAGCAGAATAAAAGGCAAAATGAAAAGTGTTTCTTTTTATAATCATACACCCACCTGATTCCAGAAATGCAATATGTTTTAGTAAGAGGCTTTGGCAGAATAATACAAATATTGATGCACATTTACAACTAAATAAAATTATTCAAGGATATTACAAATAATCACTAAGCTATCCCTACTGCAAGGGGATTCCAAAGTTAATGAAAAAAAAAAGCTTTTCTTGATATTGACAGCACAGAGAATTTCATTTGCAGCATGCATATAATTAACTGAAAATCCTATAAAATATAATGCATTTGCTTTTACTGAGACCTATTATTTTGCTCACCATAGTGTATAGTGATGTAAATATACACATATGAATTGAACATAGCCTTTTTGGTCATAAGACTGCTAACATCTTGCCAACAGAAAGAAAAAATTATACTATTTGTGTAATAGTTCTATTACACAAATAGTATAATTAATGACCTTGAAAATGCTCAAAGTGGCTACATTTCATATGAGTAGCAGTGAGATGATGTGTCTTGCTTGAGTTAGACAGAATATTCTACTAGTGTATATTATATGCTTGATTTACCCAGAACTCAAGGCAGGCTCCAGCAAACCCATTCATTTTATTTTTGAAAAATATATTTTTATTGATTTCAGAGATGGAGGGAGAGGGAGAGATAGAAACATCAATGATAAGAGAGAACCATTGATTAGCTGCCTCCTGTATGCCCCGTACCAGGGATCGAGCCTGCAACCCTGGCATATGCCCTTGACCAGAATCAAACCCAGGACCCTTCATTCAGCAGGCCAACGCTCTATCCACTGAGACAAACCAGCTAGGGCCCATTTATAAATCATCAAAGAAAGGCTGACACAGACTCAAGACTGTACTACTTACCCAGAAGGAAAGCTGTTGCATGGTCTTTGGGAAACAATACGGAATTACCTGAGCTAGATTTAAAACTATCTCCTGACTTTGAAAAACCTATGTACTTTTATTTAACTAACTTATTTTTAAATATATTTTTATTGTTTACTTTTATAGAGAGAGGAGAGAGAGAGAGAGAGAGAGAGAGAGAGAGAAAGAGAGAGAGAGAGAGAGAGAGAGAAATATTGATTGGCTGCCTCTTGCCACACCCTACTGGGAATCGAGCCTGCAACCTGGGCCAGGAATTGAACCAGTGACCTTTTGGTACATGGGATGATACTGAGCCACAATGGCCAGGGTGAAAACCCATGTTTTGATTGGATCAACTTAACAACTTTTCCCCTTATTAGGGAATCTTTAGGTAGATGTCTTCATTTTTACCTTGACATTCCCTCAAATATAACTTTGTTTTTGAACAGTTTAAATTGGACTAGTTTATCACCATACCCTAAAGGAGCAGTTGCCAACCAGTGGTCCACGGACCACTGGCGGTCCGTGAGGTCCACGGACCACTGGCGGTCTCTGGGGTCCAAAAGGTTGGTGACTGCTGCCCTAAAGCATAGAACATAGTCACCTAAGGCATTTAAGTTCCTTTTTCACATACTGACTCCTGGTCCTCAACTCCAGATGGAATAAACAAGCAGAGAAAAGCCCTCAAGGATACACACAGAGGTGAGCACATATCCTTCCTTAAAAATAGCATAAAGAAGATACATCTTCATGCCTTATAGAAGTCTGGACAGTGGCCAAGAACTGACTGTGACAGAAAGTACCAGGGAAGTAATTTATCTCCAGTTTGAGCAAATTTACTTTAACAGATTTATAATTCTTCCTAGTTGCAATAAAGCAAATATTTGCCAAACTACACCCTAAGGCAGTGATGGCGAACCTTTTGAGCTCAGCGTGTCAGCATTTTGAAAAACCCTAACTTAACTCTGGTGCCATGTCACATATAGAAATTTTTTGATATTTGCAACCATAGTAAAACAAAGATTTATATTTTTGATATGTATTTTATATATTCAAATGCCATTTAACAAAGAAAAATCAACCAAAAAAATGAGTTCGTGTGTCATAGGTTCGCCATCACTGCCATAAGGCATTGTTTTAAAAGCAATCAAATTATTCCAGATTACATTTTCTATATGCCAGGAATAAACATTTTTAAAGAAAATATTCATCACTTTTTAAATAAAGAGATCAAACTGTAAGGTGAGAGTACTTCATATTATTTTTATAGTTATACTAGAGGCCCGGTGCACAAAAATTTGTGGACTGGGGGGGAGGGGGCTCCCTCAGCCCAGCCTATGCCCTCTTGCAGTCTGGGACCCCTCAGAGGATGTCCACCTGCTGACTTACGCCTGCTCCCTGGGGGATTGGGCCCAAGGGCAGTCAGAGACATCCCTCTGGAAGCCCGGAAGTCCTCGGGGGATGTCTACTTACCAGCAGGGAGCAGACCTAAGCTGCAGTCGGACATCCTTAGTGCTGCTGAGGAGGCGGGAGAGGCTTCTGC